CAAGGTCGAGGGCCTCATTTAAAACGCCAACTTTCCATGAATCCAAACGCCATTCGCAACGACCTTGTAGACCGAAAAAAGTATTTTTTTCATCCACATGTAAAAAAAAAGACTGAAAATAAAGGATGCAGGTAATAATAAAAAAGAAAAAAACCCTCAGTAACAACAAAAACACGGCCACATCGTGCTGACTGTGTTCAAAAATAATACATTACTGTTTTAAACATTTAAAAAAAAATACATTCTTAATTGAAAATTAAAAAAAAAAAAAAACGTTAAACATTTTTTACATTCGATTGGATATGCAGAACATTTGGACAATTATTACAGACTTTGCATTTGGGATAAAAACAGTTCGAACGAACAGAAGAAAAATTTTCTTTAAAAGCTTAAACGCAGTCCCGTAAATAAAACGGAATTAAAAAAATACACAGGATGCACACACACACACACAGAACACACACACATGAAAATACAGGACATTCAGGCCGGTAAATATTATATATATATATATATATAAATATATATATCTATAAAATAACATGTTAAACATAAAAATGTATGTATATATAACAACTTGAAAGAGGCCGTTTAATCAATATAAGGACTGACCAAAATTAACGATAAAAATCAAATGAAAACTACAGAAAAAGTTCACTTTCTTCAGAGACAGCCACCCACTCCTGTAGTTCACTGCTACAAAAAAAAGCAGGGATTTTTTTTCTCCTGATGAGGGCCATGCTGGCCGAAACTAGTCGAGGGACCTAAGTGAAATAAAAAAAACAAAAAATATTAATATTCAACTCAATGTGTCTGAAAATTTTAATTTGTTTATATTTTTTATTGTTCAAAAACACACACACACACATATATATATATATATATATATATATATATATATATATATATATATGCTGACAGAAAGAATTCATATATTAGAATAGAAATAAAGATAAAAAGTTTTACAAGTAAAAGAATATGTTGGCGGAGTTTACAGATGAAACTCGCCATGTTTTATAATATTTGATGGATTGTATTAATGTTGGCTCCTTGCAGCTGATAATTCTTCAACGGGAACAGATAAGGCATGAGTAATTTGCGGTGAATGGGTCGGGAGAATCAATGAATGACAGTCAGGATTGTAGGGTCCCTTCGAAATACCCACAAGAAAAGAGGCTTCTTCCATAGTTTGACAGCCTGAAATTCATCCGTTTCATCTTGTTCAACTTTCTTACTCTTTTATCATCGCAACCATGGCACAATTTTCGGCCCCTGCTGGGAAAAAAGCTCTCTCCCCCGTCACGAACATACATCATATTCGGGAGCAAGAGAAGGGAGTCGAGTTGAACCATATGAAGTTATCAAAATATTTCAATTAAAGTATCATTTTGGGTAGAAAACGTCAACCTACAAATTATCCCAAGAAATTAGATTTAAAAAAGAAAAAGAAAAAAATAACAGTGAATTGTTTGACTTCACTGACATATAATTACTCAATTATTAGATGAATTTCATTTCCTCATTCTTTGAAGCATTTGGAGTGTGTCAAAGGCAAAGACTCCATATGTGCAACGCACTCACAGCATGTTTTAGATATTGTCTCGGTTAAATAATTATTGTGTAATGAAAAATTAATTATTGATAAATTTTACTATCCTTACATTTGTGATTCTTTTAAGTCTTCCATTCTTTCAATTCTTAGAAGCGAGTTTAGTAGTTTAAGTAGTGAAGGCCTCTGCTACTTTATAACACTCTTGAAGCAGATCTCTGCAAAGAAACATGGAACCTGAATTCATTGAGTAAAATTTTTTTTTTGGTTGGATGAGTGAGAAAAGTAGTATGAAAAAAAAACAGTGAAGTTAGTTTCTTCATTTTCTGTTGAGATTATTTTTTTGTCAATTATAGCTTAATCTAATCAGTTGCAACATCATTTTATTTTTAATTTTTTAGATAATATTGGATTTTTTTTTAAATGAATGCTCATTTTTGTATTTGAATTTTTATTCGAAGCAACATTTGACAATTTTTAGAAAATTAAATTTAACATAAAACTTCACGTATGAAATATTTAAAGTTACTTTGAAAAAAGCTTTGTAAAAAAAACAGTCTAATTATAGAATATTTATTCATTAACGCATGTTACATTTTAATGACTAGATTGATCATGGTGCTGATACTTTATCTATTAAAGTGATCGATGAATTTTTAAAAAAAAGAAAAAAAGAATTGAATTCATTTACAAAAAAATTATTGATTGATTTCATTATTTTCTCAGATTACTCACGTAACGATCATCTTGTACTGCATGTCTGTTTTCACCCTTTGACCACTGGTGTTGTTGGCCTAGCGTTCAAGTCACCGTTCAATACGGGTGTTGTTGGCCTAGCGTTCAAGTCACCGTTCAATACGGGTGTTGTTGGCCTAGCATTTAAGTCACCGTTCGCCACCGTTCGCATTTAAACTTTTGAAAATCAAGTTTGGCTGGAAAGGAAAGAGAGTTCCACAAGCGAGAAAAGAAACTGTTTGCATAGAACTTATGGTGACATCTAAGCCGATTCAAGTGAAAATTGATGAGACCTTGCCGCTAATCTAGTACTGCGCTTAAATTCATAAAGTCTTGGTACCATAGAGAAGAGTTCACCCGAATAATTTCCATGAAAGTATTTATAGAAAAGGCACAGGGAGGCTACATTACTGCAGCGGGAAAAGGACTGGAGCCGAGATGTCAAGTCAAGACCAATAACATTGCAAATTTTTCTTATCAAGAATTTCTAAATATATATCAGGAACACTGAACCATAAGTGGCAGCAATATTCAGAGACTGGACGAATGGTAGACTTATAAATATGCAAGTTAAATTGGTTAAAGAATGTGTGATGCTGTGGTGACGCTACTGTAACTCTGCAAATAAACTATTTTCCTGGCCTCAAATTGATCAGTCACCTCTGAAGTAGTCATGGCGTTATGCTAAAGTTGCAAATTGAAAAATTCGCACTGGTTAATTATAGCATCAAAATAATGATGAATGCACTTTCTAACAACTTTCTGGAATTTTTTTTATCCATTTTTTGTTAATGTAACGTTACGAGGCAGCGTGTGAACAACGTTACGAGGCAGCGTGTGAACAACGTTACAAGGTAACCTATTTGTAACACTAGAAAGTAAAGATACAGGAAGGCTGTGATTTCTCAAACCGGATGTAATGTTACAGAAACGTTGTAGTAACGCCATTTTATTAATTCCAAGGCAGAATCTGCAATGTTTTCGGCACTGAACATTTCATCTCGGATTCAGTTACCGTCCCAGCGGCGTAACGGAGCCTCCCTGTGTATTCTCTATAAATATGTGCATGGTAATTGGAATGATGAAATTTCTTCATTCATATTTTCGATTTTATGAATTTAAGTATAGTACAAGATTGACAGCAAGATCTCATCATATGGAAATTGAAATTGTTAACTGTAAACCAAAGTTCTTTTCTAATGGTATTTTCTCTCGCACTTCTCGCCCGTGAAACACTTTTTTGGCTTTTTACTTTCCTGAGGATTACGACGTTCAAAAATTTAGTCAATCGTCATCTTCTGTCTCCTTGAATCCAGTTCTTTTTATTGTCCTTTCCCCTCAGTAACGTTTTCTCAGTTTCCTTCTTGCTTTCCTCTCAAATACAATCTTCAAAAATTTAAATGCAATGTCAATCGTCATCTTCTCTCTCCTTGAACTTTGATCTTTTTATCCTCCTTTCTCCTCAGTAACGTTTTCCCAATTACCTTCTCGCTTTCTTTTACTCTCATTAACTCCTTGCATCTTATAGGCTTTAACGCCTTCATTGGGATGAAAAAACGAAATAGAAAAAGCAACTGATCGGGTCCAGCATCCAGTGAGATTTCATGTATCTATTTGAATCTTCACACCAGATCTTATGTTGCTGTAACTAGAGATTAAATGACAACATATCTTCTCAAAACTCCATCCCTTGATAGCTTATTCGTAGACATGACCAAAGTCTTTTCTTTCTTTCTTTCTTTCTTTCTTTCTTTCTTTCTTTCTTTCTTTCTTTTATTCAATCTCTCATCTGCAGTATTCGTGGCAAGATTGCAGGTGCGCCAATGATTGTTTATTTAGTGCTATTGTCTGTATCTTTTCAAATCTTTTCCAATCATCCAATTCCCTTCAACCGATTCCATACTTTGCAGCCATTCCGGGTGCTCTATTGATTACGGGCACTACTTTTACTGTACACAACTGAGGATATTCGCAATTTTTCGCCAACTTCATTCTTGTCTCTGTCAATATTGCTGCTCTTAAATGTCCTTATTTCCTTTCCATTGTTTCTTTGTGTAAATCCAGTTCGTCCTTTTACTGCCAATGTTAACACATTCTTCAATGCCGATGAATATTATTATTATTATTATTTAAATGTGTATGGTTTCAAATCCAGGAAATGAAATCATTTCTGCCAAGACCTCAGACAACAACCACTTTCCGCCGGATATTTGCTGTGCCAAAGGCGGTTTTTGCTTTTGGCAATATTTTCATGCTGTGTGTGATTCCGATGGTATCAAAGTATTTCAAAGAGATTCTTTGGAATCGACCCAATAGCCCCAACGACAATTGGAAAAATCTTGGTATGTACATACCGCATTCTCTCAAGATTCACTCTCAACACTGCTTAGTTCATAACCTTTTCAAATTCTTTACTTTGTAATGTATTAACTCCGAGGTACATCACATCAGACATTATTGTTATTATTATTATTATTATTATTATTTATGCAAACACGTTGTATTCTGTAACAAGTTTATTAGATCATTGGTAGTTGGGGCTCTGTCTTCCGGCAATGTGCTTTGAACTACTCCGTCTAAGAACATAACGCGACTGGGAAAACTAGTGAGAGGTGCCCTGCTCCATCTCCATCTATGAAACCGCGTGGTCTCATTGCACCAGTCCCTATTGGTACTTTTTTGAGGCCACACATAGACATCCGATAGATAGATTCGGTCAAGAAGAGTTAAGTGAGATGCAAAATAGATAAATAGATTCCCCATAATAAACTGACATAGATAGATAGATGACTTCGTCTGAATAAATACAAATTATAATTAAATTATTTTTAATTGAAACTGGAAATTGCATTATCAATAAAAGATAAACCAAAAAAAAGAGTATAGTTTTTGTTAGCCCAAAATACAGATATGTGATAAATATCCATAAAAAATGAATTAAACTTATATAAATTGCATGGTAAAAACCACGTATTTTTTTATTAATTGAAACAGGGTAAATTTATCACCCAAATTATCATACCCGTTTATACTCAGAATAGTATAAAAATATATAAAATATTTTAAGATAGGACATATATAAGAATAATATATATATATATCTAAAAAAAATAATATTTTTTATGTTAAATTTGCATTTTTTTATGTATTATTTTTTAAACTTCAAAAACATATAAATTATACAATATCTATAAAATAGTAATCTGCATAAATATATATAAAATATTTATAACATATATATATATACAATACATAAATCTTCGGAATATATATTTAAATATTCCAGTAGTATCATCTTATAATTATTAGATAAATATATAGTTTTAACGATTTAATAAAATTGTAGTCAAATATTTTTCAAAAACATAGATATAAAAAATTATCCATGTAAAAATATCCAAATCGTGATTTTTGATATTTATAAAAGAAAAACTTTTGAAGTTTCATTTTATTCTTTTTTGAGTTTTATTATTATCTAAATCATAAAAGATCTTAATCAAATCTTTTTGAATTATTTTTATTTTAATTTAAAAAAATAAAATAAATAAAAGAAAAATAAAATTGCATTGAGGACAAAATGTTCAATTGGATATTGCTTTAGAATTCATTGAGAGTTTTTTTGCCAAATAAACAACATATTCTTTTTATTTTTAAATATTAAAATCTTCTTTTATTATCTATATTTTGAATTATTATATATATAACCACTTATATAATGTTGAGAAAACAGTTCACTCAGATTTAAAAATTCCATTAAGAACCATATGTTTTTAAATTTTTAAAAAATTTAGGGAAACGCAAAGGTGGATTGAAGATAAAGTGTAGAAAAAAGAGAGAATCATTTCAAGTTATTTTTATTAATCCCAAATGCAGATATGAATCTTTTATATTTTCAATAACCATTCAATAAACTTTAAGATTTTTATAATATATAATTTTAAATATAAAATAAATATATATATTTATATATATATAAACTTTTTTCTTTTTTAATTATTTGATAACCAAAATCCCAATATTACATATGAATAAAAATTGATTTGTTAAAGGTATGTGTAAAAATTTCAATATTCCCAAATATAATTAAAAACCATTTTTCATTTTCAAAATTTTAATTTGAATTTTTAAAATATAAAATGTAAAATTTATATAAATAAAAATGTATTATAAAATAAATTAAAATTTCAGAAATATTATTTCATATTTCGAAATATTTCAATATTTTTTATCATTGTAAATTCCCATATGAAAATTATTGACAAAGTTTTAGATTTCATTTTTTTAAAATGTAACAGTAAGAAATAGATCAATATATATTTATGAAATATAATTTAAAAGATTATTGTTTATTGATGTCTTAATTATTTTTTATTTTTTTTTATAGATTTTTTTAAACTCAAAGTTAAAAATAGATTATTGATTTTGAATATCTGAAATGGAAATGAAAGAATTTCTTTAGGATTAAAACATGTATTAAAATCAAAAGATGTGGTTTAGAATCTTTTAATTTCAAAAACAAATTTTGTTTTGTTGAAATTTATTTTGTTTCCAAAAAATATATTGTGTAAGTTTTAACACACAAACAAAATTTTTTTTATAATTTGTAAATCTATTTGATATGACTTTCCCAAAAAATTTTTGTTTGTGAATTAAAAAATCAAATATCAAATGCAAAAAACAATTGTGTGAATTGGGATATTTAAAATTATTTAGATGAAAAAAAATTTTTTTTTTTTGATTTAATAAAGTTTTTTAAACTGTAAAAAAGGGAAAAATGAAAATTTATACAAAACAAATACAAAAAAACAGACATTATGATTCAAACAAACAACAAAATTTAATTTAATCATTTTAAAAAAATTTTTTTGTCTTTTTCATAAAAAACGTAGACATTTTAGAATAGTTTTCAATTCAAATCAAAAAAAAACAATTCTTTTCCAATTAAAAATATTTACAAAAAATTAATGGGACATAATCAGAATTTTACAATTTTCGTATTCCTTGAAAAATTATTGAATTTTCAAAAAAAATAAAAACGATCAAATATAAATAAAAGATACTTACATCATTATATATAATATTTGCGTTATATATATATATTTTAAATTTTTTTTGTTTATAATAATATTATCTAATGATTCATATTTTTGCCTTTTATAATTTATTTATATTTGTTTATTTTTATTTTTATTTTGGGACCAAAACGATTATTATTAAAAAATTTTTCAGATATTTCTTCATATGTAATAAATAAAATATAAGAAATTGGATAAAAAATTTTCATGTTTTCCATTTTTTTATTCCCTTAAAAGTCTTTTTAATTTTTAAACATATGGTCCCTCTATAAACCAAACCTTTCAGATTGTTTTTCTTATAAATCCAAATTAACTCACAATTTTATTCAATCTTTGAATATACAATAATATATTTCCATGTATTCGAATTGTGTTACAAGATTTTCAAAATTAGTTATTAATATTTGTCTCAAAGTTATCCAAAGATATTTTTTTCAAATTATTATAATGATTTGTGTTTTTTTGTTCAATAAATTTTAAAATCAAAAGAAAATTCATATTTTATGAAGATAGATATATCCCCTAAACTTTATTCTTTTTTCAATTTTTGAGATTTTTGAAAAATTTTTGATTAATATATAAAATTTTTAACAAAATCAAATTTTAATCAATTATAGATAAAAAGATATAAAGAATAAAAGAAAAATGATTAGATATTTTAAACATAATACGTAATTGGCCAATAATTTGGAAATTTTTTACAAGATCAATAAATAAATTATTATAACAATATTTAAATTTTTCAATATTTTATTTTTATGTATGATTGTCTTAATAAAATAAATATCATCAAATATCAATGTATAAAAAGGAGGGTTTATAATTATTTTTTAATTGAAATGTTTACCCTAAAACGGAAATAAAAATTCGTCTGTCGTATCTCAATGTCAAAATAAAAATTAACGATTTTTGTGACAAATTAAATATAAATAAATGCAAAAAAAAAAAATTGGAAAAATTTTTTCAGTCGAATAGGTTGATTTATGGCCTAAAAACCATCAAAATCCAACAAGGTTCAGGAATTTTATTAGAGTGGCATTGTCTTAAATAACTGGTGATAGGTTTTTGCATTAAATAGCTAGCCATCTCTTGTAAAATTTTTTGCGTGTTCAAGATTGGATCAAAATATAAGTTTTTTTTTTTTCTAATTGGATTAATATCAATATGCAATTTGAAGATTGATGTAATATTGCAGGAAAATAAAGGATGGATCGATAAATTATTTTTTAAATATGATTTGTCTGATTTTTTATTAATTAGGTATATAAAGATAATGAAAAAAAATTTGAGAATTTTAAATCTAAAATATACTAAAAATTAATATATCATCATTAAAACCGCGCAAAAAATTTTGCTTCTCGAAAAATTATCTATAGAAAAAATTCAATAAAAAAATTAATTTTGTTAAAAAAATAACAAATTGGTTTTATCTATGTCAATCCGAATTTTGAATAAAGAAAACAGGTGACCAAATGTTATATTTAATTACAGATTCAATCAACAATGTATTTTTCCTGATTATCTATGACACCCTTGCATCTAAAAACAAGCTTACTAAGTCCATTACTGTAAAAATTCTTTTGGCTTTGATTCGAAGAACTCACAAATGTCATTGTCAACCTCTTCCCGTGTTACTGTTTCTTCCAAATGATTCTGTAAGCTACGAAACAAATGAAGGAGCAAGATCGGGAGAATAAGGTGGATGAGGAATTTTCTCCCAACCAAGTTCTTCGATCTTTTGTGACGTGATTCTTGCTGTGTGGGGTCGCCCATTGTCCTGATGAAACATCACCCTTTTCGATTCACTAGAGCAGGTCTTTTTTTCCTCAAAGCTTGGTTCAAACACTCTAATTGCTGACAGTATATTTGAGCATTAATTGTTGCATTAGGTGGTAAGAATTCAAAGTGGATTATTCCTTGGCGATCCCACCAGATTGAAAGAAGAACCTTTTGCCCATGAAGTTCCCTTCTCGGCTGTGGCTGGGGTCCTTCCCCTTTACCAAGCCACTGTCTACGACGCTTAACATTTCGATAAAAGATCCATTTTTCGTCGCCAGTCACAAGTCTATCCAAAAAAGGTGAAACAAGTTGGCGAGAATGGAGAGAAGAGCAGATGTCAACTCGGGATTTGAGGTTGTTTTCAGACAATTCATGAGGCACCCATTTTCCAAGTTTAGGAACTTTTCCAAGTTGTGGAACAATGGACAGTTGTATGGTTTGAACTGAGAACCACTGCCAATTCCTCAACTAATAAAGCAGGATTTTCTTCAAGGGCTGCTTTAAGAAACCTTTCATCAAACTCAACTGGACGTCCGGTTCGATCTTCATCTTCAAGGGTGAAATCTCCACCTCTGAATTTTGCAAACCATTTGCAAGTTCTTTCATTCACACATTCCTCTCCATAAACGGAGTGAATGTTTCTAGCCGCTTCGGATGCTGAGTTTCCTTTCTTGAACTAATAAAGCATTATGTGCCTCAAATGATTCTTGGGTACTTCCATGTTAGCAGAGTTTTAATCAAACAAAATTTAATTTTGTTCTCTGAAATAAAATTTGATCAGTTTAAATGCATCTAAACATAAAATAATGTTCAGCTCCATTAGACATTATAAAATACTCTTTAAATTTCGTTCCTTTTAAAAAAAAAGATAAAATTCGGACAGAACTTATGGGATGACCTGATATATATATCTGTTTATATAAAAATATATATTTTATATAT